TAGTACCATATTTGGATTTTGAAAGCCTAATACATAACCTAATTGATTGGAAAAGGAAACATATTTTATGCTTGGGTGAGTGAATGTGACTTTGAATCGTTCAAAGTCACTATGATAAAATAATTCTATTGAATCTATAATTTGCTTTTGTGTTGTTGCGTCTACCTTGTTTACTTTACCATATTTCTTTACAAGGATGGGCATATTTGGTAGATAATTTATCCTTGCTTGTGGGGTTATTTTCTGCCCGAGATTAGCGAGTACATGTGTAAGTACTCGTTCATATTCTTCAGTCCATAAAGGGTCATTAAATGTAGCCGCAGGTTTTGGGAGTTGTGGAAGTTCGGTTGAAGATTCAGATGAGGGAGATGGAGTTCTTGATTCTTCCTCGTTATCTTGTGTTAGTGAAAGAGAAGTGGGTAAAGAAGGTTGTATTGACTTTGGTTGAGGAATGGTAGGAGTGGGTTTTGGTGTTTGAGGAGTTGGTTTTGGTGCTTGAGGAGTGGGTTTTGGTGGCTGAGGAGAGGGTTTTGGTGGTTGAGGAGAGGGTTTCTGAGGTTGAGGTGTTGTAGGCTTTGGAGGTTGTGGAGTGGGTTTTGGTGTTTGAGGAGTTGGCTGTGGTGGTTGAGGAGTGGGTTTTGGAGGTTGTGGAACGGGTTTTAATGTTTGAGGAGTTGGTTCTGGTGGTTGAGGTTTTGGTGGTTGAGGAGAGGGTTTTGGTGGTTGGGGTGTTGTAGGCTTTGGAGGTTGTGGAACGGGTTTTGATGTTTGAGGAGTTGGTTTTTGTGGTTGAGGAGACGGTTTTGGTGGTTGAGGAGAGGGTTTCGGAGGTTGAGGTGTTGTAGGTTTTGGAGGTTGTGGAACGGGTTTTGGTGTTTGAAGAGTTAGTTCTGGTGGCTGAGGAGCTGGTTTTGGTGGTTGAGGTGGTGTAGGCTTTGTAGGTTGTGGAACGGGTTTTGGTTCTGGTGGCTGAAGAGCTGGTTTTGGTGGTTGGGGTGCGGGTTTCGGAGGTTCAGTTAAGGGTTTTGGAGGTTGAGGGGTTGTAGGCTTTGGAGGTTGTGGTGGCAGAGGAGTGGTAGGTTGAAGAGTTGGTTTTGGAGGTGGAGGTGTGGGTTTAGGAAGATCAGCTGAGGGTTTTGGAGTTTCTGGAATAGGTTTTGAATGTTCTAGTGAGTGTTTTGGAGGTTGAGGGGTCGGGATTATTTTGGTAAGTTTAGGAGATGAACTACGGGATTCTAGTTCCCTTTCTGCAGAGGATGAAGGGGATTGATCTCTAAGTTCTCCTTCTTCCTCTTCGGCCGATGATGAACGAGCTGGCATTTTAAGTTCTCCTTCAGGGGATACACTACGTTTTGGTCTGCGGACACTTGGAGGTTTGACTAGGGTCTCAGGCTTTTCCAAGGATGATCCTTCTATAGCTCCTACTTGGTGTTCTAAAGTAGATAATAAAAATTGATGTAAATCTTCTACAGTGGTGTGTGAACCTTTGGGAACTGGTACACGAATAATACTAGCCCTTCCATCGGTTTTGGTAAAATGGATGTCAATCCATTGCTCGTCAAGGGTACCAATAGTTGAGGGCCATGAATATGGATAACTTATACTATGCAAACCACATACCCAGTCCCCAGAAAAATATAGAGGTCTAGGCAGATGGACGCGAAATTTATTTGGTCGATTATCTGGATAATCGGAAACATTACTAGGAAGAAAAACAAAGAAAGTATTTGACATTTTTATCAAAAATGAAATAATGAACAATTAAATGAGCTTTTATACTAGTTGGGTCTCATGGATCCATTCTCTTTCGGGATAACCTATAAATTTTACTAAAAGATCGTAAGTCCCATCCGGTCTCTTTTTCTTTCTTACAACCTTTTCTATTCTATATTCAGTATCAGCATCCTTACGAACGCGAGCTAATTCCTCTCCGTAAAATGATCCTTTGAACTTTTCACCTTTATCATCTTGGACTTTGTAACGAATTGGATGAACATGTCCTTTAACCTTTTCTACTTGGAGTATTTCATCACCCCAGTTTGGAATATAACCCTTTTCGAACAGTCCTTTTCCAAGACTCATTCGAACATAATCTCCTTTTTTAAGTTTTGGGGTTGTCTTTTTATCTGAAAAAACATCTCCATATACCTTCTTCCATACTTCCTGAGCATTGTCAAAATTAACATCAATTGGTCTCATCCCATGTACCCTACTTTTTGCTTTATTTATTCCTTCTAAAATTCCAGGGAGGACTTGAATCCAATCTAAGGTCTTGTTTTGGGCAAAGTAACGGTAAATACGTTGTTTGATATGTCTAATAGCCCTTTCAGCTAGTGCTGCTTTTACTGTGGAGTGAGTTGGTTCCATCTTGTGAATTTCCTCATTTTGAAAAAATTCGTTCATTTGAGAATTTTTAAATTCTTTTCCCTTATCCGAAAATATACGGTGTGGTTTCATAGGCATTTGTTTTATTAACTCAGTGAACGCGTCTACCATATTCTCTGCCGTTTTTGATTTTACAGGCACCCCAAATATTCTCTTAGATAAAACATCAATTCCCAAAAGTAAATATTTATTCCCTTTGTTATGTCTTGCGATCGCTTGAAAATCAGCCAAATCTACTTGGACGTCTGTCATAAAGCCTGCGGGTATTGTCAAGGCTCTGTTAAAATGAATACGTCTTGGTCGCATTAAAGTATAAGTCCTGTGCCCTTCTAAATAATCTTGCACAACGTTTTTAGGTATATGTTTTAGTACTTTTCTAGCCTCCTTCCATAGTCTATCAACACCTGAAAAGGCAGCTGGAGACTCTGGATTATTGTACAAATCTTGTAAAAGTTTAGTATAATCACCCATTTTTACCACAATGAAGGTTTAAATGATTTGTTACTTGCTTTGCGCTTGGCTTTTATAAGCCTCTGCATCCATTCTTTGCTTGCTCTTGCGGATTGTTTTTTCGTAACGGGTTTGACTCTCTTTAGCGTTAAGAAGGGGCTTTCGTCTGGACCTTGCCACTTTCGTTTTAACTTTTGACGCCTTCGAATGTCATCCTCTTGTCTAGCCTTTAACATTGCTGATTGGTCTAGGGGGATTTTTAGTTTTCTTATACCACTTCTTTTTAATTCCCTTTCCTTTTTCCCTTTCCTAATATTTTCTAGTTTTTGATCCTCTTTTATTTTTCGTAGGTTTTCCTTTTTCTGCTCTAACTCATCAATCCTTTTCCTTTTACCTTCCTCAATATTAATATACTGTAACCTTTTTGTTCCTTGTGGTGGTGGTGGTGGTGGAACATATGTAACTTCTTTATGGTACTGTGGGGTATAGGATATTTTTTGTTCTCTGATAGCCTTCTTCCTTTCTAAATATTGTCTTTTCTTTTCCTTCTTTCTATAGTCATCAAAACCATCATCACCTATTTCTTTTTTAATTGGTTTGATTTCGTAATCTATCAAAGGTCTTCTTTTATTGCTACCTATCTCCTCTTCACCTCTTTTTCTTTTCGGGGGTTTGTAATAAGTAGTAGATTTTTTTGGTTTTAATGTAATTGCAGGCTTAATATCTGGTAGGATAGGTGGTATAATGTTATAAGATGGTGTCTCTTTTGGATACGAACTAAAGGACATATCATCACTCATCCATATATTATCGTCGTCTTCCCCAATATTTGAAGCCGGAAGGGAGGCTGTAGTATTCATAATTGCACCCTTTGGACTAGCAACCATTTCCACCTTAACCGGTCTATTTTGTTGTTCATTTCTTAATTGCAAATATCGCCTAAGCTCCTGATTATAGTGTACATTTTTTGCACTAGGTGTCTCCCTTTTCAATTTTGTTTTCTCTAGACCTTGACGAATAAAATCCAAGTTTGGCTCCCCTGTATCTTGGGTTGTCAAACCTTTATAAATTTCTTCAGGAACTAGAATAAATTTATTAGCCATAATTTTAATTTTAAATTAAGATGAGTCATGGGTTTTTATAGTCAGCATCCTAGCCATTTCAATGAGAACTGGTGTTAAGAGGGCTGCAAATACTCCCACTCCGTCACCTTTTTGATTAATAACATGTCTGGCTCCCCTTTCACTCCTAACCCTACTCAAACTTCGCACAAATTCCGCATGAGGTAATAATCTTTTCTTTTGCCGAGTTGTAAGTTTGAACCTCTCTTTTACTATATTCAAGCAAATTTCGGCTAATGCTAAAAGTTGTTCACTATTTGACAATTTTAAGAGTCTTTTCCTTTTTCTCCTAGATTTGGTCTTTGACAATAAATGTAAAAATTTTAGGTTTTCAGAAATTAATTGATTAACCATTTTTTGGAAAGAAAATTATCTTTTCATCATCTTCCTTAAATATGTTGGTCCTAAGACGCAGGGTAGGATCTGAGGAAGCATGCATATCAATGAGCAAGTAACCATAAGGTTGCTTGGTTGCCTGTCGATATGAGTCTAGAAAATAGTCCAATTGTTTTGGAAATAGGTGCACCCCTATGTTTCTAATGGATAGCATTGAATTGGGTGCCCTCATTAACATGAGGTACTGAGAATTTTGTCGTGCTACTTTGATTTTCTTATCGAATAAATTTTGTGTAACAAAAATTATAGAAAAATTTTGATGATGAGATTTTTTAGTAAACAATTCAGATAGATATTTTTCATCAATAGAAAGATTCAAATCATCGAGAATTAGTAAAAGAGGTTTAGGGTATTTTTTAATTAGGTCTTCAGGCGGAACCCCAGAAAATACATCAACTCCAGATTTTTGTAAAAGTGGTACAATATTGTTCATTTCCCCAAAGCAGTAAAGTATAGACTTTGGTTTAGGGTGGATTAACTCTTCGGATTCTGCAATAAGTTTCAACAACAGTGTGCTCTTTCCACTTGAACTAGGACCAGATATTATCATACCAAAAGGTAATTTAAATTTTAAATCTTTATCCGAGAAAGCTAATGAATTCATAATGAATATTTATGGTTATACGAAATTTTCACTTAAATATCATTTTAATCGGTTGGAATGCCTGTCACTGATGCGTCTAAACTCTGGAAGAAATCATCCAACTCATCCATTGTTGGAAGGTTATCCAGGGGTTGGGGTATCTGTGTCACTTCTTCGGGTATTGTGGGGAGACTTTGGGTAGGTTTTGGTTCAGCTGGTTCAGTTTTGGTGCATGGAATGTGAGTAGTATCGTTGTATGGTACATTAAATACACGGCCTTTGTTCTTTACTTTGAAGAAGCAATGACCTGGTAAATCGTATAATGAATCGAAGGGAACAAATCGACTTCCTTCAAAGCGGGTGCAATAGACTACAACCCCTTCCTTTACTATAATAAAATCTAATTCGACTTCTGTGCTCCTGCACTTACGACATTTCCCTCCTTGGTCGTAAGGAAGAAACCGTGGAGTTGTATAGCGCATACTGGAGATTGTAATCCCTGTAGCTGAGATGTTAAACTCAACTTCAGGTAATATTTTTGGGAATTTTATATCGGACATTTTGAAATAATGAAGGATTTTTCAATAAATCGTCCCTTTTTATACCCCAGATAAACGAGGAATCAAATTGACAAAGGCACAAATACATTTAACCAAAATACATTTCGGTCAAATGTGCAACTCCCCAAAATGGTATACTATAGATATACTCCCCAGATGTCAAACATAAAGTATGTGATGAGGTGCAACTATAGTGAGGTGTAATTAATATACATAAGGGTAGAATAAGAGAGTTAGACAAGAGTTGTACACAAAAGTTTTTGTGCGGTGAAAATGGAAGAAATCTGGATTATTAGCTTCGAAATTTTTGACTGAGGTGGTGAAAAAAAGCGGCACCCATTTTTGAGTGCACCCACAAATACATGAGCCCCACTACCGGACGACTAACTACTAAACTACTAACAATTTTACTCCAAAGACTAACTACTGTAGCCGCTAACTACTAAATTTGATAATGATTTAGTGAATTTTTATAAAGGCACTGTGGAGCGAAATTATGAAATTAAAAATACAACTTCATATATAAGTAATAGGGATTTTTGGAAGAGATTTTTTCAAAATAGGTTAAAATACCGTATAAAAATACCGTATATCCTTTAATAACTACCCTGAATAATTGTTTCGACCTTCCGCTGGAGGGAGTAATTAATCGAGGGAGGGTAATTATATAGAGGTTTGAAATTTGAACGTGTTTTAGGGCATTTGTTTGGAAGTAATTATTGTTTCAATCTACGCTGGATGGGTAATTAATGGAAGTGGGGTAATTATTTGAGGGAGGGCAATTAATTGAAAATTAGAATAAATAATTTAAAAAATAACCAAGAAATTTTTGAAAACATGACCCGATTTTTTAGGCCACCCTATGACTAGTATATTAAAAATAATAAATAAATATAAGCATTTAAAAATAAATTTAAAAAATTATAAAAAAGGCATTTTTGCCTATACACTCTGTAACAAAATGATGGAAAGAATGCGAAGGAAAAATATTATTATACTTAGGAGGGCGGCATTGAAAGTATTATACAAAGCAAAAGGATGAGAAGGATTGGATGGGAAAAATAAAAATTTTTATTATTCAAAACAAAAAGATTTATTTGTGAAGAAAAAATGGATTAAGGGGAAAGCTGCGGGACGTAAAATTTGAATATGAGAAAAGGCCTATAGGTTTTGGTTGAGGAAAACAAAAGAAGAGGGTTGGGTGCGGGTGAGGGAAGGAGAAAGAAAGATAAGCTCCGACAGCTTTTGGTTTTGAGATGGAGAAAGAAAAGCTTCAATATATTTGAGGTTGGTGAGGGAAACCTTTAATTAGAGAGGGGCTGGGTGGGGGAAATAGAGTCTCAAAGCCTTTTGTTTGGTGGGGTAGGGGTCGGGAGGGAAATGGCTCCATACCTTTTGATTTTGATTGATTAACTAAAATCATTTTTGACAGGCGACACGGGGGTCGGTCTAACTACTCAGAAATCGATTTAAAACGGTTAAAAATCAAAGTAGCACATTTGAGTCTTCAGAAAGTACCATAATCAAGTTGATTTGATGCTAAGAATTTAAGTAAAAGGGCATCAAGAAACACGGAAGGACTTAATATCTGCTAAGTCGAGAATTATTTATTTCCTATACATTTTTCCTTTCCATTTCCTGTGCAAACAACCACTTTATTTTGCAATTCGCAAACACACAGCCACTTAATTTTACTCAACAGACAACCACTTTTCCAATATAATATGAGTCGTGGCGAAAAGAGAAATGGACAAAATGCAACCCCAAGCTATGCGCCACCAAGAGAAAAATAAATGTAAAGAGAATTAAAGCAAGAAAGAAGGCAAAAAGTGGTAGCAACATTAAATTCACAGCAACATTAAACACAGCAACATTAAATTTGAATTTTTGAATTAATTTGAATTTTTGGATCTATGTTGTAATCATTATGATATTCTTAATAGATTTAAGTAGTTAGTCATACGTATTTATTCCATTTTTTACCGCACTTTCCTAAAGGTTTAGGCTTGTCTGGGTGCCCCGCCCCTTTTACTTACACTCAATAATTTAGATACAAGTAGTAACTTTAAAATTTTCAAATATTAAAAATTTTATAATATTAAGAATTTTATAATATTTATATAATATTAAAAATTTAATAATATTAAAAATTTTTTGAATTAAAATTTTTAGAAAATTAAAAAATTTTTCTATACAGATTTCTTAAAAAACATTTTCTATAAAAAATTTTTATATTTTTATAAAAAAATTTTTATAAAAAAAATTTATTTATAATTTTTTTATTATAAAATTTATTTATACATAAAATTTTTTTAATTAAAAATTTGATTAAATATTATTTCTATAAAAAATTTTTTTCTATATAAAATTTTTTTCTAAATTTGAGATGTAAATGATATACGATACAAAGTTAACCTACCTTCTTTTGATATTACAAAATGTGGGTATCACTATAAAAACGTCAAAGAAGAAGAACATGAGGAGAGTGAATTTTAAAGAATTTTTTGAAATTAATTCTTTTTTTTTTGAATTTATTTTTTTAATTATTTTTTCTCTTAATTATTAAAAAATCCTAATTAATAAAATAATTTCTTTTCTAACACCACCAACAATTCTTTTTTTTTAATTTTAAAAATATTTTTTCTTTAATTAAATTAATATTTTTTTAAATTTAAACCAACAATTTTTCAATTATTAAAAAAAAATTTTCACTTAATTTAAAAAAATCCTTTTTAATATAATAAAATTATTTTTTTCTAATACCACCACCTATTCTTTTTTTTAATTAAAAAAAATTTTTTTCTTTATTAAAATCTTATTTTTTTAATTTTAAACCAACAATTTTTCAATTATTAAAAAAAATTTTTCACTTAATTAAAAAAATCCTTTTTAATAAAATTATTTTTTTCTAATACCACCACCTATTCTTTTTTTAATTTTAAAAATATTTTTTCTTTAATTAAAATAATATTTTTTAAATTTTAAACCAACAATTTTTCAATTACTAAAAAAATTTTTTTACTATTTTGAAAAAAAACTTTTTGAAGAAATTATAAAAAATTTCCGATTATTTCGAAAAAAAAATTTTTTTACCATACTGAAAAAAAATCTAATGTATTCGAATTCGTATTCGAATCTAGTAATCGTATTCGAATCTGTATTCGAATCTAGTAATGTATTCGAATTCGATATAAAAGTTCTACGAACTAAATAAGTGGATAATGTCATTTGTGTGCAAATAATAAAAATCTAAATTTTGTTTTTGTTTAGACGCGTCAAAATTATTAGTGCCATATTTATTCTAGTAATGTATTCGAATTCGATATAAAAGTTCTACGAACTAAATAAGTGGATAATGTCAATTGTGTGCAAATAATAAAAATCTAAATTTTGTTTTCGTTTATACGCGGCAAAATTATTAGTGCCATATTTATTCTAGTAATGTATTCGAATTCGATAAAAAAGTTCTACGAACTAAATAAGTGGATAATGTCAATTGTGTGCAAATAATAAAAATCTAAATTTTGTTTTCGTTTATACGCGTCAAAATTATTAGTGCCATATTTATTCTAGTAATG